TGTGAAAAAATCATATAATTTTATGAGAAGTATATATATATAAGTGAAAGTAACCACCATATCTTTTTGGCTCATTTATCTAAAAGTATTACGTGACTAATGTACACCTCGGCTTTCGAACCGACATATTTTCAAAATAATTTTATTAATATCCTACATATTTTTCGGTACATTACGAAATTAACTCAGGAACAACAACGTGGACGTAGCAGTTTTCTGTTCCCTTCGGGATACTTCATTAACGTGAGTCCCCTCGCCTCTCACAATTCGGGATGCTTGATTAACGTGAGTCCCCTCGCCTCTCACAATTCGGGGTGCTTGATTAACGTGAGTCCCCTCGCCTCTCACAATTCGGGGTGCTTGATTAACATGAGTCCCCTCGCCTTTCACAATTCGGGGTGCTTGATTAACGTGAGTCCCCTCGCCTCTCACAATTCGGGGTGCTTGATTAACGTGAGTCCCCTCGCCTCTCACAATTCGGGGTGCTTGAACGTGTGGTAACCCAGCCAGTGAAGGCAAGGTCGAGTGGTGACCCAACCAGTTAAGGCAAGGTCAAGTAGTGACCCAGCCAGTGAAGGCAAGGTCGTGTGGTGACCCAACCAGTTAAGGCAAGATTGCATTGTTATCAGCTCTCTCCGCATGGAGGAGATGCTCAAAGTGTGCACCATCATTTTCTAAGGATAACAGTAATCGACAGCGAAAGTTACGTTGTACATTTTCTAGCATTAAAGGAGTTATAGCTTCACAAGCTCTTCTTATTCTTTCCATCATATTCAATCTTGTCGTAGGAGCTTCACTATACACTGCATCTTTAACGTATCCCCATAAAAAGAAATCAAGGGGGTTCAAATCCGGTGATCTCGGAGGCCACAGAACTGGTCCACCCCGTCCTATCCACCGATTTGGGAACCTTTGATTCAAAAACATCCGTACAATACGAGCATAATGAGCAGGAGCACCATCTTGTTGATACCATAAATTTAGTCTAACTGCAAGGGGAACATTCTCTAGGTATGCTGGCAAATCATTTTCGAGGAATTCTAAATACATTGGACTATTAATTGGACGTTCAAAAAAATGAGGTCCAATGACTTGGCCATTGCAAATGCCTACCCATACATATAAACTCCAACGATGTTGATTAAGCACCTCACGATACCAATGTGGATTTTCTGGTGACCAATAGTGGCAATTATGCCTATTGAGACTACCATTGCTGATGAATGTTGCTTCATCACTGAAACAAACATTACTAAAAAAATCTGGATTCTGATCTAACATCTCAAGAGCCCATCTACAAAATTATACTCTGAGTACGTAGTCGGCCTCACTTAATTCCTGTACCAGAGTAATATGATACGGGTGGTAATTGACTGATCGTAACAATCTATGTGCCGTAGTTTGAGGGATTCCCAGTTCTCGTTCTATTTGACGGGTATTAATATGGGGATTTTGATGAACCATAGCCAAAACTGCAAGCAATCTAGGGTCATTATTATTATGAAGTCTATTCCTTCGCCTTTCGCGATGAAGTGGATTATTACGAGATCTCCTTTCAATGTTTATAATTTGTTGATCAGTAGGATGGCGGCGATTTGGGAATCGCTCCGCATAAGTACGGGCAGTAAGTCTGTAATTTCTACCACATTCACCAAAGGTTATAAGAATATCGACTACTTCTGTAGGCGTATAATTTGCCATTTTACCAGAATTTTATCAGAGTACAAATGTTAAAAAAATACATAAACACTTGTGACTTTGGCACTAAATGGACAAAATTTTGGAGGGATACTTAGAGGAACTCCATCAGATGGAAAGTCCAAAATGTCTCGGTACTTTGGACCATTCAAGTTGCCTAAAGGGCAGGTTACGCTAAAAGTAGTTTCTTGAGAAGTAATTAATGAGTAATAAAAAATAATGAGAAGTTTGTTTTAAGACTAATTTCGAGTATTAACAATGAAAACGTGGTATTTTTATTGTTAATTTATTGCAGAATCGTAAGCATGGGTTCTCAGTAAGAGAAATCGAAGAAATTGAATTTCGTCGATTACAGCGCCATCTATCATGAATCGAGAAAAATGTTTCAGACAAATTGTATGTGTTTTTAGCCAAAGATTCCGAATATGCAATAAAAAATAGGGGTTCCCATTTAAGATTTCAAACTTGCCCCCCCTCACCGCCCAGGGGGAGGGGTGGGGGGCTGATTTTAACGTCATTGTACGTCCCCCTCGAAATGACGAAATTTTCATTCTAAACATTTTTTCGTAGTGTGCTTATTTTTCGAGTTATTTGGCTGCCTAAGTTAAAATGGGTCACCCTATATATGATTTGATACATGTTCACATATAATTATATATGATTCGATACATGGTCATATATGAGTTCATGTACGATCATATATAATTTTATATGTGATTGTATATAGGTATTGTAATCATATATAGTATATTCATATATAATTTTATATATGAATGTATATTATTAGATATGTCATCATATCCGAGTTTGATTTGAATGTTATTTGCAGCGCTTTCAGCACTTCCATTTTATTTTTACGTCTAATATGGACGATTAAGACAGTATGATGATAAGCGCTTATAAAACGCATGAGCGTTCAAATCAAACTCAGTCCCGATTTCACATATGCGTGATCATATATGATTTCATATATAATCAAATATGAAATCATATATTATTTTTATAGATCGTTTATATACGAAATTTATAGGGTGATTCAGAACGACCCCGTGTCCTTGCAAAGACGTGTTCCTGACTGAATTCTAAGACGATTTTTCCTTTACGAAAATTTTATCTAACGCTTACTTTTTGAATTATTAAAAGATAAAGTTAGCGAATTACGATCCGCGAACAGAAGGTAAGCAGGGGCGGTGCACTCACCGTCCGACGCGAACGCACACGAGAGGCACTCATTGCGATCAAGGACATAGAGTTATTCTTTAATTTAAATTAATTTGTTTTCACGACACCTCTCTCTCTCTCTCTCTCTCTCTCTCTCTCTCTCTCTCTCTCTCTCTCTCTTTCGAG